ATTTTTTAGTTCTCGGCAGACACAACATCTTTGTTGGTATGTGGTGCTGAGGATCGAACCCGGGCCACACGCATGCCAGGCAAGCGCGCTACCGCCTGAGCCACATCTCCAGCCCCGCATTTTTTTTTTTAAACCAGAAACTATGGAGGGCAAAGGAAGTGACACAGTGTTTTTCAAGTGCTAAAAGAATTGTCAACTGCAAATTCCATATTTGGTAAAACTGTCTGGGACTGAAAGAGAAATAAAGCCATTCTTAGATAAAGGAACACTAAGGGTATTTGTTGCTAGTAGAGATATCCTTAGATAATGGCAAAAGGAAGCTCTTCAAAAAGAAAAAATAGGACAACACAGAGGCTTAGAACTTTGGAAATGAAAGAACAACAACGGGATGAGTATAACTAGGGGTAAATTTAATAAACTATTCCCCTGATGAGTTTTAAAATCTATATTAGAGGGGCTGGGGATGTGGCTCAAGCGGTAGTGCGCTGCCTGGCATGCGTGCGGCCCAGGTTCGATCCTCAACACCACATACAAACAAAGATATGTCCGCCGAAAACTAAAAAAATAAATATTAAATCTATATTAGATATTTGAAGCAAAAATTATAAGATCTTCTGATGTAATACTCAGTATATGAAGAAGAAATACTAAGATTTTATTTATTTTTTCAAATGTTTATTTTTTAGTTGTAGATGGACACAATACCTTTATTTTATTTTTGTATGGTGCTGAGGATCGAACCCAGTGCCTCATGTGTGCTAGGCCAGCACTCTACCACTGAGCCACAACCCCAGTCCCACTAAGATTTTATTTTTAAAAGGTAAAGGATTATAAATAATGTTAGGTTTCAGTTGTACAAAGTAAAAAAACATTGACACAGTAGACTATATGTGTATTGTATGTAATATCTAGAACAACAGAAATATAAAGTAATATATTTAAAACATTAAAAATAAAATTCTAAAAATTGTTCAAGTAGCCCACTGGAATGCTAGAAAAGAGAAGAAGAATGAGAAACAAAAGGAACAGTTAAATAATAAAGTGTCAGATTTAAATAAGCCCTAAAATATTAATAATTGAAGTGCAGATGGTCTGGACATTACAATGAAAAGACAGATTATAAGAGTATGCTATCTCAAAAAAATTCATGCCAAACGTAAGAACATAGATAGGCTGAAAGTAAAAATTACAGATGCATGCCTATAATCCTGCAGCTTGGGAAGGGAAGGAGGATCACAGGTTCAAAGCCAGCCTCCGGCAATTTGGTGAGGCTGTAAGCAATCTAGTGAGACCCTGTCACAAAAATAAAAATGGCCAAGGATGTGGCTCAGTGGTTAAGCGCCCTAGAAAAAGCCTGGTGCAGTGGCATGTGCCTATAATCCCAGTAATTCTCGAGACAGAGATAAGAGGATTCTAAGTTCAGGGCCAGCCCTGGCAATTTAGGAAGACCCTGTCTCAAAATTAAAAGGGCTGGGGATTTTGCCTAGTGGGTTTTGCCTCCTGGGTTCAGTCCCCAGTAAATGGTTTGGGGTTGGGGGGGGGGAAGAAAAGCAAGCAGGAAGGGAGAGATCAGAAATCAGTAATATTGTAAATAAGAAAATAGAGAAAATCAGTTAAACCAAAAACTTATTCTTTTTATGATATCAGTGAAAATGACAAATCTTTGACAGAACTGACATTAAAAAGAGAGAAAGCAGAAATCACAAATATAGAAGTAAAATTGGGTATCACTTCAGCTATTAAACTAATAATTAATTTCAGCATCCCAAAAGAAATAAACCATTTATTTGAAAACCATAAATTACTCAAATGCAACCAAGATGAAATAGATAACCTGGGTAACCATTAAAGGAATCACATTTATAGTTTAAAAGCTTCCAAAGAGTACACAGGACTTCCCTATCTTTACAACTTCCTGAGAATCGGAAAAGTTTTAAGAATCACAAAAGCTTTAATACTCCAAACTTCCCCAGTTTCGTGTCCTGTCCTACCCAGACCCCATCCGTAAACCCTTTAGGTGGTTGCTGTTTTGTTTTCTAATGGCCCTTCTGAAGATCCTTTTAAAATACACATACAATCCGTGCATAACACATCTGTAATCCTAGCAGCTCAGGAGACTGAGGCAGAAGGATCATGAATTCAAAGCCAGCCTCAGCAAAAGCAAGGCCCTAAGCAGCTCAGTGAGCCCCTGTCTCACAGTAAAATACAAAATAGGGCTGGGATATGGCTCATTGGTTGAGTGCCCTTGAATTCAGTGCCCGGTACCTCTCCAAATAAAATACACATACAAATGTATTTATAATACTAAATTTTCCCCATCCCTTTCTAAACAAATAGCTTCATGTTATACCTTCTGTTGAGTTTCCTCTTCTTGTCCCCCAATAATTATAGAATTTTAGGATTTTTATTTTTACACTATTAGGTTAAAATGGCATTTCATTGGCTTTCAATTTTTTCTTACCACAACTAAGAGAAACTTTTCATATTTCAAAAGATTAACTATAGTGTGTATGTGTGTTGGTATTAAGATTGAACCTGTGGGTGCCTAACCACAGTGTCACGTCCTTAGCCATTTTTATTTTTTTATTTTGAACAGGGTCTTGCCAGATTGCTTAGGGGCCTCACAGAGTTGGTGAGGCTGGCCTCGACCTTGCAGTCCTCCTGTCTCAGCCTCTTGAGTTGCTGGGATTATAGGCATGCACCACTGCAACTGGCTTGTGTTCATATTCTTTTGATCATTTTTTTTCTCATGGCTTTTGGCCTTTGTAAAAGAGTTATTCATTAGGAGTAGTTATTTATATAAAAAGCTATTTGTCTTTGATATAAGATTTACAAATTTTATTTCTGTTAAACATTTGTCTTTTATTGTCTTTTTTTCCCCTATAGTCATTCTAGATTTTCTGCCATTTACAAAGACCCTTCTCTCACACCAGGGTTATAAATTTCAGGTATTTTTGTGCTTTGAGGCATAGCCCTGTTGAACTCTGAAGTAACCCCTCTACTCTGCCTTAGGCACACTAGATTTTATTTCTGGTCCTGAGTTTGGTTGCATGGATCTCCTCGCCTTGTTGGAAATCTAGGTCACTGCAAGAACTAGAGCAAGAACTTATCTCTCATCTTCCATAAAGTGATTCTTTACAGGGAAAGGAAGTAAGGGGAGGATATTAGATGATCTCTTGGCTCTCACCCCATCTCTTAGCAACTTTTATTCTAAAAGATAGATTGGTGGAAGAGGTTTTTTTTCCCTTGTGTGTTCTTAGAGCAAATGGTTAGGTGACAACCTTTTGCTGGTCTTCAGGGAAAAGAAAAGCTTTAAGGACCATTTCTTTCCACTGGTCATTTGTACAAGTCCCACTTAGATTGCTTTCTCCAGAAGGACAACTTCCCTGAATCTTTGGAATCTAAAATTAGCCTCTACCGCATCGAGAACTTAGGAATCTTGTCCACATTATAGCAGCAAAGCCCTGTGAATTTTTTTCAGAATGAACTGCTAGTTAGTGGTTTGCTCTGCTAAGCCTTGAATTTTCAAAATGGATGTTAAAAACATTTGCCTAGAATAATTCCCATTTACTTCCACAACTTAGGAATAGCCAGGCCAGAAGAAGGAAAGGCTGCTGTGAATGTGACCGGAAATGACATCACTACCCCACCAAACAAGGAGCTCCCACCAAGCCCAGAGAAGAAAACAAAGGTAAGTGCCAGAATGGTGATTATCTTTTATTCTTTAGGATAGTACCTTCTGCTATTATTGCTTGTATCATGAATGTAGTTTCTTTTTTCTGAGCTTATTATGAGGCCATCCTCAATTTTGATCCAGTGCTTAGAAAATATCTTATATTCCCATTTTACCATAGTAGCCTAAGATTCAAATTTTCTGCCTTTCACCATTTTACCTTATATAGCTATAAAAATGTACTATAGAGGTTGTTGCTGCTTCCCTTAAGAATAACAAAAAGAATAATTGCAGAAGTATTCTGAAATCTGTGTTCATGAAAAGGGAATGCAGATTTTAAAAGGTAGATCATAGCTTTAGACCCTTACTTGTACTTAGTGCAAAGTTCAAGGCTACACTTTGGGATGTAGTGTTGTTGCCCCATCAAGATACAGGCAATAAAAGGCAGACCAGAGTATACCTGTACTCTCAGCTACTCAGGAGGCTGAGACAAATTAATGAGTTAGAAGCCAACCAGGGCAAGATAGCAAGACCCCATCTCAGGAAAAAAAAATACAGATAATAATGCCTTAAACACTTGCTGATGATTTTCTTTATAGAATTATTGTAGCCCTCAAAGATGGTTAATAATGTAAAGCTATTACTGAATTTAAATTTTCAGATGCCAAACTGCTAGACTGTAGCCCTGTCATTAAGAAATAACTCTCATAGGACTGGAGGGTGTAGTTCAGTGGGAGAATTCGTACTTAGAATGTACAAGATGCTGGATTTCATCCCAGGACTGAAAAGAAAAGAAAAAGAGGGACTGTAGTTGTAGCTCAGTGGTAGGATGTTTGCTGAGTATGTGTGAGATCCTGAGCTTGATCCCTATCACTGCAGGAAAAAAAAAAAAAAAAATTGGTGGCACATACCTGTAATTCCAGCAACTCAGGAGGCTGATGCAGAAGGATAGCATTTTCCAGGCCAGCTTCAGCAATTTAGCTAGACCCTGTCTCAGAATGGGAAAAAAAAAACTAGGGATGTAGCTCAGTGGTAAAGTGCCCCTGGGTTCAATTCCCAGTATGAGAGAGAGAGAGAGAGAGAGAGAGAGAAAACAAAGAGAGAATTCCCAGTTTTCTGTTCTGTGGTCCCTCTCCTATATACTGAGCTCAGAAGAAAGGAATGCTAATTTTCAGTTGCATCAATCCTCATTGCTTATAATTTTACTTTGAATTGTGCAATTTATACTTTTTTAATTTGTTTTTATTCTTTTCTGTGTGTTTGATGTTGGTCTTTAAAAAAACCTTTTTAAATAAAATTAAAAACCATCAACCTAAAGCCTTTGGCCACCACTCAACCTGCAAAGACTTCAACATCGAAAGCCAAAACACAGCCCACTTCTCTCCCTAAGCAGCCAGCAACTCCCACCACCTCTGGTGGGTCGAATAAAAAACCTATGAGCCTTTCTTCAGGCTTAGTACCAGCTGCCCCACCCAAACGCCCTGCTGCTGCCACTGCCAGGCCTTCCATCTTACCTGCAAAAGACGTGAAGCCAAAGGTAAGTAGTGACCCAAATACTATGCCTATGTCCATGTCTCATAGGCTCTTGTTGCCACCGGATGATGGACTCAGACTGGTGGAATTAGGAAAAGACAAGGGAAAAAGAAGAAGGGTACTTTGAGAAACAGTCCAGGGACCCTGTGATGCAGCCATAACACTCTAAAACCCTTCTTTTATTCTTTTTATCTTTCCTTGCCCTGGTTGGAGGCAATATCCCATCTACGGTTGGAGGTAATCTACAATTGGTCCTCCTCCTTTGCTCAACTAACTTCTCCTCATTCTTTACACTTATGTACTTGTTAATTGGTTTCCCCTTCTCCACATATTAATCAGACTTTTTTGGTGTAATACCCCTGCCAAATTTGATTATTTTCTTTTCTCTTTAATCATCCTGCAGAAGAGAATTTTGCCTATTACTTCAGCAATATACTGGCTCTCTCAGCTGATCTCAGCATGTTCCAGTATCATGTGACAACTTAGTTTGCTTTTGGCATTAGGACACTTCTCACTTGGCTACTTCTAATATTTTCCAGTTTTCCAGGTCACCCACCCTCTTTATAACCCAGAAACGGTCACATTTAGAGCCACAGTAGCTTTACAGAGTTGTTCCAGGGAGAAAGTATGGGTGGAGGCTGTGGCTGCCTTCCTTCAACTCTTGCTTTTTTTGAAAAGATCTTTTAGGTCAGCCTCATGGTACTCTTTAAAAACACAGTGGCAAATAAGTTATCTTGTTAATTTAATCTTGTAAAGAAAACTGGTTAAGGGATGGGGATATTGCTTACTGGTGAAATGCTTAGCTAAGTATGTACAAGGCTCTGGGCTTCATCCCCAGGATTGCAAGGAAGAGAGAAACAGAAAAAGGAAGGGAGGAAGAAGGAAAGGAAAAAGAAAAGTAAAGAAAGGAAGGAAAAAACAAATCTGGTAGAATTTAGGAATTGTAGTCTAGATTAAAACCCTTAAGAAATAAGAAATCCTATCATAGACTAGGAATAATAAAAGCTTTGCAAGCTTTTTCTCTGGTCCTCATTTACCCAGGGGGCAAATGTTTCTGGATCCTTAGAAACAATTTATGTAAGTATGAGAGTAGAGGAAAGGTGACAGTATCCATAGTGCTACATCCTCCCTGAGGCTTCTGGGGAGCAAGAAGAGGCTGGAAGGAGGAGGGAAGCTGTCAAGTGAAGTTTCACTCAATAATAATAATAATAATAATAATAAATGAATGTACTATTATTAGTTTTTTCATATCATAAAGTTCTTTCTCTTTCTTAATTACCCACAAAACACAGTATTAATATTTTCATTTTATAGTTGAGGATGCTTAACTTAACCTTCATTAAATCACCTTCCTAAAGTATGTGCTGATAAGTAGTAAAGCCAGTGTATGAGCCTTGGTCTAACTCCACAACTGTCTATACAGCACTGTTTTATTATAGCTTTTTTTTTTTTTTTTAACATAAGGATCAAGGGAAACTAAAGTGTACAATTTCTACTCTGATTTAGACAGAAAGATTTGTAGAAACAAACAAAGACAAAGAAAACTCTAGTCAGGAAAACAAATAGGTCTCTGATTCTGGCAGAGGAGAAAATATAAATTGAGAAACAGCAAAATAACTGCAGTTACAAAGTGCAGGCTGGTCCTAGAACTTGTTAAGGCGATGTTAAGAGATTGATGTCTAGAGGATGCTATATCCTTTTCAGCGGGGGAAGGGTCCTGGGGAGAGTTTTAGTCTGGAGGTGCTAAATCCCAATCCTTTTTTTTTTTTTTTTTTTTTCATTTTTTGTTGCCAGAGATTGAACCCAGGTCTGCTTAACCACTGAGCAACATCCTCAGCCCCTTTTTATTTTGAGATAGGGTCTTCCTAAGTTGCTGAGACTGATCTTGAGTTTAAGATCTTACTGCCTCAGCCTCCCTGCTTGCTGGGATTACAGGTGTGCTCTCCTTTAGAGATCTCTATCCCAAGTAACTTGTACTAGTACATTTATGTAATCATGATTGCTTTTACTACTTCAATAGTAAAAGCAATCATGATTAAATATTAGTCATAATCTGTAAAGTTAGAAGAAGACCCCAGAAAGCATCTGGTTTGGGTCTTTAATTTTATAGCAATCAGAGGGAACTCCTCTGCAAAAAATCCTACAAAATGTACTCTACAGAGCTAGTAGCAGAACCAGTTCCTCTGATTTCATTTTTCAGGATCTTCACACCATTAACCTGCATTGGCAGACTCAGGCTGGATTTGATTGGATGCCAGCCTTTAATTTCTGTGCACCTCCCTAGCCGACTCGCCACTTAAACATTATCCTCCTTGTCTCCATGAACATCCTGCTCTCTCTGTGGCTGTTTCTCTTGTTATAAAAAAGCTGGGCCCACTGTGTCTGTGGTTTGGCTTCCTCTCTTGAGTAACATGGTATATTTGCTTATCAAAATAATGTCTGCGCTGGGGCTGTAGCTCAGAGCATGCGTGAGGCACTGAGTTTGATCCTCAGCACCACATAAAAATAAATAAAGGCATTCTGTCCATCTATAATAAAAATAAAAAATAAGAACTTTAAAAAAAAGTCTTCATCCCAACAGGTTAAATTGATACTTTCCATTCCTCAGTAGTGAGATGTTCCCAGCCTCCATGTAAGAGAAACTTGAGTGGCCCAGATGCTTTACATTCACCCTGAAGAAACTTTTCCTTCTGCTCTCAATTCCCAGCTGTGACACTAGTGCTTCTCACCCACTCTGTTGCCTGGGCCTGCCCCTTTCCATTGTCTCTGTTCAGAGATCTAGCATTCTCTATTCCCTGGTATTACATGTTCTCAAAGCTGGTCTTTAGTGATGCTCTTGTAATTTCTTTTATGTACATGTGCAAATAAAGCTCAGGAGGGACTTGTCTTGATTTGTCTGAGAACATAGTGTGAGTTAGGGTCCACACTAGTTCTGCATCTCAGGCTTCTGACCTGGTTTGGTTATAGTTTCTCCATCTGCAGCAGCCCTAACCTTCTCAGCATTCTCTGGGGTATGTTAGCCAAAGGAGTGGCTGAATTTAGCTAAACAACACTTTTAGTTTTTGTTTTGCTTATGTGTTTATTTAATCTTGTCTAGTGAGGTACTTGTTTATAGTGGATTCTGTAGGCCGTGATGTGATAAACTTTGAGGGCTGCTCATTCACACTGCCATGAGGTAGTTTAACCTTGTTTCCTGACTTCAGATCATAGCATCCTACGTGACCAATTTCTTACTTTGTTTGGAGGACTTTGTTCTTAGAGCTATGTATATTTTCCTTTCAGTAGGTGTCACACCCATAGTGTCCTCCACCCCCATTCTCTGGTGCATGCTCACATAGAACCCTCTTGTGGTATTTCTTCTGTGATTCTTGCTGACCTGCAGCCCTTATTCCTGCTGTTCTATTTCTAGTCCGTTGCAGAGGCAAAGACTCCTGAGAAGCGGGCCTTACCATCCAAGCCCACCTCTGCCCCAGCCCTCAGACCTGGACCCAAGAGCACCCCAGCTGCTCCGAAAGCTACTGCAGCTGCCTCGGCTGCGCCAAGCAATAGAAGTCCCCCCATGCCACTGCCCAAACGGCCCACTAGTGAGTATTACCTGTTCCTCCTTCCCAGGAGAACCAGTGAGAAGGGGCCTTGCCCCCACCCTAGCTACAGCTGGCATCACTGGCTGTGTGGACCTGCTTATGCCATTCCTCAGTGGGTGCACTGCTCAGTGGCAGCGTGATGGGCCTAGTTTCTTAACAGTTCTTGAGCATTGTGTGAGCTTAGCAGTTGCGTGTATTCAGAAAAATTTTGAGTGGAGGGTACTGTCACGAACTCCCAGGTAGAATTTATTGTTCCTTTCTTAGTGATTCCACAGCTCCCAGTATTTAGTTACCATCAGCTTATACGATGAGAAGAAACAAGCAGTTCAGGGCTGAGAGTGTAACTCAGTGATAGAGTGCTTGCCTAGTGTTTACTAGGCCCTTTGGTTTTTAGCACCACAAAAGAACAAAAAGAAAATAAAAGAACCCAGTGCAGTGGCAAATGCCTGTAATTCCAGTAACTTGGAAGGCTGCATCAGGAAAATAACAAGCCTAGGCCACTTAGTGAGGACCTGTCTCGAAATTTTAAAAGAAAGGCTGGAGATGGAGCTCAAGGCTTGCTTAGCATGTGTGAGGCCTGTAGTTTAATCTCAAGTACAACACACAGAGGAACACACAGAAGAGAGAAAGAAAGGCAAGGGAAATTCAATTTTATAGATATATATTGATGACCTTCTTGTAAGACCATATTGAAGACATTGTCAGGACTTCTGAGAAGAATAAGACACAGTGCCTTACCTTCTGAACTACACGGGGTTGGTTGAGGACTTTACATGACTATCTAATTTACTATTCTATTCCAGAGACTAGCACAGTCCCTGGCTCATTTAGTAATTGTTGAAAGTGATAAACCTCAGCATCAGGTGAGCCATTCAGTAGGTCAGTTGGTTAAATGTTTTATTAATGTTTGTGCAGCCATTAAGACTGAGGGGAAACCTGCAGAAGTGAAGAAGATGACTGCAAAGTCTGCACCAGGTAACATCCCACCCCCACTCGGATCCCCACCTCTCTGTATCTTTACGATTCCCCTTTGCTCTCCCCATGAACCCTTGCTACCTCTCACTCCTACCTTGCAGCTGACTTGAATCGTTCAAAGACCACCTCCACCAGTTCTGTGAAGAAAAACACCACTCCCACTGGGACAGCACCTCCAACAGGGGTGGCTTCCACTAGAGTCAAGTCCACTCCCACACCTCCCCGGCCTTCTACAACTCCCATGGACAAGAAGCCCACCTTAGCCAAGCCCAGCTCCTCTGCCCCCAGGCTGAATCGCCTGGCCACCAATGCCTCTATCCCTGATCTGAAGAATGTCCGCTCCAAGGTCGGCTCCACAGAAAACATCAAGCATCAGCCTGGAGGTGGCCGGGTAAGTTCAGAGAGCTTAAGGTTCTTGGCATGCTAGCCCTTGCTTCTCCACTGCCACATCCAGCCACCAAACAAGTGGGACTGTTAGGACATTGGATTCAGTGTCAGGGAATTTTAGCCTGGGCTCTGTAGTGGGCTTTACCCCAGGAGCAGGGAAAGGTGGACCCAGCTCTGAGCTTTCTTTTTGCATCTCAGTCAGAGGGGCTTCCAGTTCTTATGGTTGGGGTTTAGGTTTTTTGCTTGAAGGCAAAGGATTCTTCTGTTTTACAAAGGAAACAGAGGATCCCTCAGAGACTGTGAGGATGAGAGACAATGATCTAAACCCAGGTTTTCCTGGTCTTACCCTGCACAATAAATGTAAGACTAGGCAGAAGGCAGCCTGACTTGGGTGGAGTCTGTCTGAAAGAGGACTGAGGTGACCTCTTGTGGCCAGGATGAGTTATCTACAAGCCTCTGGCTTTCCAAAACAATAGGATTATGCTGGGAGTACAGTTAAGGAAAAAGATAGCACTCATTTCAAGAATGTTCTGGTTGTGTGGATTCCAGAACTGTGTGTTAACTGTTAGCAAGCATGGATGCTCAATGTGTGGAAAAGTTGGTATCAGAAGTCCATTTGAGACTGTTCAAGTCCCTGGAATAGTAACCTCATCTCTTATATTCTTACTGGCACTTAAACTATACCATCATCATCCAGGGTACAATACATAAGTTCCTTCAATCCAAAGCTTAAAAATTGAGGAAGGAGGGCTGGGGTTGTGGCTCAGTGGTAGAGTGCTCGCCTAGCTCCTAGGCTGTGCTTTTCCCTATCTTTTTGCTCTTCTTAGGTTCAGAAGATCTTGAATAACTTGGTCTGTGGATTGAATTATTTTCTATTCAATTATATCTGAAGAATATGACACTTCCCGTCACCAGTAGTGGCTCCCTGTGGCCATGGCAGTTCACTTAGGGGGTGTATCAGAACATTAGATGGGAGGACATCATGATTTGAAAAAACACACCTCGCACACATTCAGAAGAAAATCACTAATTTGGTGTTCTCAGCCTTCCTTTGTGCCTTTTTTCTCTGTAAATGGCATCTTGATCTCTTTCTCTGGCTGAGATTTTGGCCTGCAGCTTTTCCACTCAGAAATCTCTGGCTTGGTGTAGCCCAGGAAACGTGTATGTTCTTTCTAGGAACAAAGGTGGTGCTTCTACCTGGGGGCCTGGACTTGAGTTCCCTGCTGCCTTCTTTTCTTGGCATTTGGACTCTCATCCTCTTGGTTTGAAATTTGCCCTCCCTTTATCTCCATCCAGGCCAAAATAGAGAAAAAAACAGAGGCAGTGGCTACAACTCGAAAGCCTGAACCTAACGCAGTCACTAAAGCATCCAGCCCCATTGCAAGTGTGCAGAAACCGCCTGCTGGGAAAGTGAGTTCTGTTTAGACTTCCCTCTGGGGAAGTAAAGATGGTAACACTTTTCTTCCAGCATGAGTCATTTTCTCTTCTATTATACGTTTTTCCTGTCCTTGACTAGTTTCTACTTCTTTCCCATGTTCCTTCCTCTGCTTGATGACTCGGCCATCAGAAATTTTTTTTTATTATTCCTGAAAGCTAAGAGAGTGGGAGCCCATTAGCCCCTTGAGGACTATCGGCTCAGCTGAATAGAATGGATTTAAATGCTTTCAGTCACTTCCTTCACGTGACCTTGATCTGAAACCTGTCCACTATGTGTAAAAACATACAGGACACCCAGGTTCTTTCTCATAAGACAGGGCACTGGTGATTTTCCAATACCCAGAATTCTGCAGCCCATTCTCTAATTGAATTAGAAGGTCTTTCTCATAAAACTGCTGAATGTGGAGATAGTTTCATTTGTCCTGATTCCTCAGGTAACCTCTTAACTGAAATTTGCAATGCTCATCCCCAGTAAAAACCCACTTAGGTCTAAGGAATAACAGCATCTCCTGGAGGGTAGAGGTTCCTTTCTCTGTCTCCACACCCTGGAAGCAGGCCCTTTCTACCTACTGTGGGTGAAACTCTCTGGCCAATGGATGCCTGGGCTTCAACCCTTAGGGACCAAAAAACTCATACAGTGCATATGTAGTAGAGAGGAGGTAAAGAAGGTTGTACCATGGCTTCTGGTCCCTGGCTCAGACAAGAGCTCATTCGGAAGTAGTTTTCTAACCAGTTATTCATCGGTAAAGTTGTGAAGAAGGAAGACTGGGGTTGTAGCTCAGTGGCAGAGCACCTTGCCTGGCATGGGCAAAGCCCTGGGTTCAATCCCCAGCACCACAAAACAAACAAAAACAATTGTGAAGAAAGCAAGAAATGACAAGGTATGCTGCGACAACCTATACAGGTTCGAGTTTCTCATGGTGGGTTTCTGTATTCTGTGGGGAACTCTGCAGTCTGGGTGCTGCAGCATTTGCACAAACCCTCCAGCTCTGAAGCAAAGGAAGGAAGCTGGCAAGTATTCCTTGTTTTTGTTTTTTGGGGTACTGGAGATTGAACTTAGGGGCACTTGACCACTGAGCCACATCCCCAGCCTTATTTTGTATTTTATGTAGAGACAGGGTCTCACTGAGTTGCTTAGGGCTTTGCTAAGTTGTTGAGGCTAGCTTTGAACTGGAGATCTCCTGCCTCAGCCTCTCGAGCTGCTGGGATTACAGGTGTATGCCACCGTGCCCAGCAACTATTCCTTTTCAAGAAGGCCCAAGAAGAATTCTTTGTTACAAACCTGAGAGCCAGCACCTGTGTTGCTCATTTCCAGGGAACCATTTATATACAACGCAGTGGAATTGTGCATCTTTAACAGCCACCATTGAGCCTGTTCTCTTTGCACTTGAAACTCACAGGGCATAGGATTTAAGCATCTGGAAGATTCAAGAAACTGTTTTTACCCTCGAATCAAAAATAAGTCTAAGCCTAAACCCCTGTTGCACTGTGTTTTCTCAAGCCCTTAGACAGATGGATTAAGTTTCTGCTGAAGCTGAAGTTTATGCTTCCCCAACGCCAATGTCCAAGTTTGTGTACCCATCTTCATTCTTATATGAGCAGTGCCTTTCCTTCTGTTAGTATCAGATCTGGGCCCTGGTAGCCAGCTGCCAGTGCTTCTCAGAGCACTCTTTGCTTCCAAGGATGAGTCTGGCTGTAGTAATTCCAGGGCTCAGATTCAAGGGGTAAGCAAGTCCAGAGGATCAGGACTCTGACAGAGTAGAAGCAGTGACAGTATGCCCAGCTCATGGGGAAGGGGCATGCCAAGAAGATGGATGGGTGGGTGTGGGCATAAGGGTCCTGCTGCTGTCTGGGCCTTGGGAGCCACAGCACAGCTCTATAACAACCACGAAGTGCTTGTGCAACAACTGCTTATGTCCTCGTGTTGTTTGTTCACCTTTTCACTCTCTTTCTTGCTCTTTCTAATCCCTTTCCTGTGCTTTTCCACACTGTTTTGCCGAAGGTGGGGGCAGAGGTTTAACAGTAACTCTGTTGATCATTGTGATCATATGTGGACTCACAGCCTGCCTTGTGTCAGATCTAACCAGCCCTCTCCCTTTGTGTTGTTTTTTTTTTCTGTTCTCTAACACTCCAGGTCCAGATAGTCTCCAAAAAAGTGAGCTACAGCCATATTCAGTCCAAGTGTGGTTCCAAGGACAATATTAAGCATGTCCCTGGAGGTGGTAATGTAAGTATAAGCTCTGGCCAGTTGGTATCTGAGACATAGCCCACTGTGGGGAGCCCTGGGGAAGATTCAAGAATCTTTTTTTACCCTTGAATCAAAAATAAGTCTAGACTAAACCTAAGGACCCCCTGCTCTTATAGACAGGACCACAGTGGCCTGGCCTGGGGCTTTCTGCAAGAAGCAGTCCAGCCAATTGAGGGGGAACCTCAGGGCTCAGAAGTGTTTGGACTGGGTGTGTCCCAAAACATCATCCAGTGACATTCATGTGTCTCTTCTCACTCCAGTGGGTGAGAGGCTCTGGGTTTTTCCTCCACCTATGTCAGAGACCTAGTGTGAGGGGAATAGGCCTATTGATTCTATTGTATCTGTGCCTGGGATGCACAGGTCTGTGTACGTTTGTAGCTCCTGGGGAGTACCTACGCTGAGACAGGTATCCAGATCTTTCCAAGGTCCATTCTTGAATCCTTGTCATTATAAAATCAGAGAATTAACATTTTCCTCCTACTCCTTCTCTGCTTTTTCATTTCTTTTATTATTCTAGCTTCTCTCTTTATTTCCCTTCCTTCTAGAACTCTTCTTTCACTGCCTTCTTTTCCCTTTTCACTTTCTACTCTTTCCTCCCATTTTTTTTCTTTTCTAATCCCTTCCTTCTTTCGGTCAACTTTTTCTGCCTTTTCTTTTTGTCGTCCTTTCCTCTGTTCCATCAGAATACCTACCTTTTATCTTCTGCTGTCCTGTGCCAGCACTGTGATCTATGTTAGGGTCATAGGTGATTCCAGGTACAGGGGAGCTTCTGATGCAGGGAGAGACTGGGCAGTCTCATTTAGTATGTGAAGAAAATGCTGTGGTTTTTTTTTTTTCACTTGTCCCTGTGACAGTGCCTAGTTAAGCAGAATTCTGCAGGGCGGTGCCAGGGGCATGTCATGGAGCCATCCGCGCGTAGCCCTGCCCTCTCAGTTTCTCTTGTGTTCATTCGGTTCCTTCTCCTTACTGACCTGAGCTGGGTTAAATTCTGTCCTGCTTCCCCTTTCCTTTTCCCACTCTGTGCCCTGCTCCTCTAATTATACCCATGGCCTACAAACAGCCACCAGCAGTTTTATTATGAGAAATGTGTCCCTAAAGCATTCCTTCTTGCCCCTGGCAGTGCTCTCTGTCACAGGCTCCTCCTAGGCTTTTCTTCCCCAGCAACTCTTCCTGGTCTGGACTGAAGCAGTCTTTGACCAGACAGAGCCTGACCAGCTGGTGTTGGCCACACATTAATCAACCTCGGGGTGGAGTCAACTGTAGTGGCTGAATCTTTGAAAGGCAGTTTGTGCTTGAAGTGGGAGAGAACCAGCCTAGGAGGGCCCCCCGCCTCCCCCCGGCCAGATAGGCATTCACACTAGCTTTTCCTCTTGGGTTCTTTGCCTGGGTAGAAACAGACCAGGCTCTGGGCTGCTCTCCCTTCTTGAGTGAGCACAGAGTCCCAGCGCGCTGGAATGGATCCCCAATAAATCCCCTTTTGCCAATTGCATGGAAAAAAAAAAAAAAGAAAGAAAGAAACAGACCAAACAGTTACCCCAGTGAAATTGGTTCTCGTGTGTATGAGATGTAGACATTCATTTATACATGTTGTGTGTATAAGAGTTCTGAGAGCAGTTATCAGTTAGTCAGCACCATACTGGGATCTGTCCACGACTTTAAACAAGAGTTTTTTTGAGGGTAATTGTGCTATTTTATTTTTGTTTTGGTAGTGGTAACGGTCCTTTTTGTTTTTTTATGACAATGTCTCTTTGAGTTGCTAAGGCCCTCACTAAGTTGTGAGGCTGCCCTCAAACTTGGATCTTCCTGCCTCACTTTCTGAGTTGCTGGGATTACAGGTGTGGCTGAATGTGCTGTTGTAAAGCATTTTCATTTTAGGAGGCTTCCTTAGAGAGTATTGGGAAACTGCTTGTGAGCAGTGTCTCCAGGTGAGATGATGAGGGTGAATACACTGGCCACCAAGGACAGCAGAGTCCTTAGTTCCTCTACAGCTTTCTTTAGCCCCTCCTTAATGCCACCCTAAACAAACATGTCATTTAAAAATAGTGGACTCACCGTGTAGTCCTAACAGTATTATATCTGTTCCCCAAAATAAACATACCCACAAGCCCGGCACAGTGGTGCATGCCTGTAATCCTAGCAGCTTGGGAGGCTGAGGCTGAGGATCGCAAGTTCAAAACCAGCCTCAGCAACTTAGCAAGGCCCTTAGCAACTCAGTGAGACCCTGTCTCTAAATAAAATGTACAAAAAAGGGCTGGGGATGTGGCTCAGTGGTTGAGCACTTCTGGGTTCAATCCTCAGTACAAAAAAAAAAAAAAAAACATACACACACATACATAGAGTTACTGCCACAATGAGAGACTTGGAGCAAGATTCCATTTATTCCTCCTCACTACAAACAAATATCCCTTGATGAGAGCCAGGGGACTTCAAGGGAAGGAAGAACGTGATGTGTTCATGTATTCAATATACCAGCCTTCTTCTGTGGATGTTCCCAGTTTTAAGATCTCATGGCAGCCTTGGTTCCATTTCACCCTTAGGAGGCAGAAAATGGGTGCGCAGACCTGTTGGCAGCTGACTTCCACAGCATACTCTGGGATCTGTGTTAGGCCTGCAGATTCTCACAGAGCGGTGCATCCTGAGGAAACATACAGATAGAGAGAGGGGCAGTGGATGCCGTGGCATATGAAGAGAAGGTGTCCTTCAAAAGACAGACATGCTTTGCTGGCTGTCAGGCTTCCCTAAGGAGGGCATACTTGGGCCACCCCTGAGAAGGAGGCATACATCTTAGGCTAGAAAGAGTACATGGTTTGGAAACTAGAGCACAAGGTAGAGGTGAGTAGCCAGGGAAGGAGAGGAGCTGTATCTTAGAGGTGGTGGACCTTGTTAACTAAGTGGGCTAAGTTAAGCTTTTTAAAACTTTTTATGGAAAATTTTTATATTTTATTATTTTTGAATCCAGGAACACTTTACCACAGAGCCACGCCCCTATCCTTATTTTAGTTTTTATTTTGAGACAGGGTCTTGCTAAATTGCTGAGGCTAACCTTGAACTCTTAATTTTCCTGTCTCAGCCTGCTGTGTAGCTTGAACTACAATTGTACACCACTACACTTGGAAATTTTCAAACATACAAAAATAGGAAAAAAAATGGCAAAATGAGCTTGATATACAAGTTAGGCTTTGTTTAGTGTTTTCATGGCCAAAACTGGGTGACTGGTGTTTGCCCACCCTATTTATTATTATTATTATTTGGATGCCAATCCTAGATATATCACTCAACTAAAAATATTTTATTCTATAAATTTAAAAGATAAGGACTCCTAGGGCTGATTTGTGGCTCGGTGGTAGATCATTTGCCCAGTATGTACAAAGCACTGAGTTCGATTTGCAGCACTGCATATAAATAAATGAATAAAATAAAGGTTTACTAACAACTAAAAAAAAATATTTAAAAAAGATAAGGACTCCTTAGGCTATATTGAGATAAATGGGGACATCATGGTATACACCATAATTCCAGAGACTCAGAAGGCTGGGGCAGAAGATCACACTTTCAAGGCCAGCTTCAGCAATGTAGTGAGACCCTCAGCAACTTAGCCAGACCCTGTTTCAAAATAAAAATAAAAGAATGCCCCTGGGTTCAATCACCAGTACCCTCCCTAAAAAGAATCCCTCTGTCCCTCCTTTGAAAACCAAGAGTGGGGAGCTATGTGAATGTGGACTCCATGGCCCTCTCTCTGAGTTGGCCGTGTCTTCCCCTGACAAATGTAAACAAGAGACTTTTTTCTAACCCAGACAAAGTATTTACTGCCGTGATTTAACCACCAACTCCATAGCTGGGGTGTTTCACCTCTTGGGAGCACATATTTAGGGGGAAGTGCATCGAATGTGTCATAAACCCTATCCTTGTTGGAGATAAGAATATATATCAATATCTGTGGAATGAACCATGGCCCAAAGAGAAAAGAATTTTTCTTATCTGGGCAAAACTTCAGCTTTTGGGGAAAGATAAGTAAAGTAGAGGCTGTGTGTTTGCGCAGTGGCTGCTTCTCTGTAGTTGATGTGGAATGGGTGAAGTAGTTACTCTGCAGTTCACATTGGTGACCCTTCAGAGTGTGAGGAGAGAGGGAGTGAGGCTAGAACCGGGGAAGGCTGTGGAGAAGGGTGGGGAGGAGAATGTGATGGCCTACAAGGGGAGGAAAAATACGAGCAGAGCTCCAGAAGCAAGGGCAAGAAGAGCTCAGGCAAGTGACCATACAGGTAGTGATTGCTAGACCCCAGGCTGTGGGTAGAAGTACAAAAATACAGCAGTCACCATGTCTTTCCTCCTGGAACACAGTGGAGGACATGCTTCCTGACACTGAAGAAAGAAAGATAAGCCCTAAGAAAGTAGCTGCCTGTCTAACAGATTATTCAACCAAGATGATGTGGCACCTGCTTGCACAGCCCAGAGGGCCACTGCATAAAAGAATTGATCATATTGGAAAACCAGGCTCTTCTTCAGTCCTGCGGCCACTCTGAGAAACCCTGAACTCCTTGTCAAGGAACATTGGAAATACTCCTTGTCTGTTAATATTGTTTCCTATATTGACTCAAAGATGTGTCATCAGTCCCAGTACTGAGATGCTTTTCCAAGGCTCCTGATGGACAGGCATGGATAAAAGTCTGATGACCATCTTAAAAGTAGAACCAAGTCATCCAAAGACATCCAAACCAGTCTCCAACCCAGGGCATATCCGTTCCATGATTCATTTGGGATGAATAACTTTATAAGGCACTTCATCCTTTCAATTATTCACCAAACATGGACAGATAATCAGCTGAGTAATAGACCCTGTGTGGAGGCTTACATGGAGCAGAAAACATATCAAGCATAGCACATCATCTCAAAAACAAGCAACAACAGTAACAACAACAACAAACATAAATACCTGAAAACAGTCTCAGTCGTTGACCATGTGGCCAATCTTCTGGGAATCTTGCCCAAAGGAGACATCAGAGTCACAAACACTTTGCATTTGCAAAGATATTAACTGCTGCCATGTTTATAGGAGTGAAAAATAGACAGTGGCCTAAATGGTCAATATTAGGAATAGGGTTCAGTTTACACTGCATGTTACAGCTTGTTCCATGGCATTTCTTTGCATTTACTATCTTTCTTGGGAAACTCCTGACGACACAGAGTTGGTACTTGCAGAATCATATGGGGTTGTTTGTCAGCTGCAGGGAAGTGCATTGCAAAGAACTGGAAGGAAATATGCCAAAATGTTACTCCGGTTCTCTGGGTGAGGAATAGATGGGTAAGATTTTGAGGTGAAACAAAAGGAACATTTCATGAGAGCCTTAATGTTGGCTTTTGAAGCCAACATTTAGGAAATAGAGCCATTTGAAGGGTGCCCAAATGGTCTGCAGGGAAAACTGAACATGTTTCTATGTTAGAGAGAGACAAAAAAAAAAAAAAGTAGTCTGGTCTCTGGGATGTGATCAGAGGTGAAGGGCAGGGCCAGGATAAATTGAAGGCTCTTTTAAGCACTTTGGGAAATAGACAGACGGGGATTTACAACGGAAATTTACAACGGGGGAGAAAAACCTTGGCTGTGGGAAGATGATGAGGGCAATATGGGTTTGGCCCTAACATCATACCCTCTCTCTGAGGTAGTAATTTCTTCCTTTTCTTCTCCCTAGGTTCAGATTCAGAACAAGAAAGTGGACATCTCTAAGGTCTCTTCCAAGTGTGGGTCCAAGGCTAACATCAAACACAAGCCTGGTGAGTGGAATCTTTGTGCCCATGGACACTCTCCAAGCAGATGGTCCTGCCATGGGTCTGCTGCTGCCTCTGGCTGGGGAGGTTTCCCGCGATGAAGACTCACGGAGCCAACTCCCATCTAGGACCCACAGTAGAAACTGGGTTTTCAGGCCCTGTCAGGGATAGCAGGGTGCTGCTTCCCAGTTGGAGGAGGAACAGCTATAAAGGCCCCATTTGCACAGCTGTTCTCTTGAGTGCCTGCCATGTGCCTGTCACGGTCAACCTAGGCCTAGAACAGAGCCACATGCTAGGTTGAGAACCTGGTCCTGCCTCCGCCTCTCAGAAGAGCATTCCAGAAGCTAGTGCTGACAGAGGGCTAGAGAGTAGTGGTTGGAACTTACCTGTCAGATCCAGGAAAAAAGATGCTCCTAAGCAGTGACATATTGGCATTGGAGGAGAGATATTCACCACTGCCACCTGGGCCTTCGGGAACTTCAGCAGTGTCATGTCCTTCCCACAGCATGGTTAGCCCAGTGTCTGAGCAGAGTCTGGTTTCCTACCTTGGCTGTCAACTCACAGCCTTGTGTGTCCCCGTTCCTGGATACACAGAGGATCTAGGAATGAGTGTCACTGCAGCGCAGACACTCTGGTCTGGCATCTCTGATGAGCCCTCTGGGTCAGCTAAGGAGAAGGCACAGAAACATCCTCCCCTCTCAGCAGTGGTGTCTGTCTTAAGAGTTGCACTGTTTAAAAAGATCAAAACAGCTGGGCCTAGCAGTGCACACCTATAATCCCAGTGGCTATGGAGGCTGAGACAGGAGCATCAAAAGTTTGAGGCTAGTCTTAGCAATTTAGTGAGGACCTAGGCAACTTAGCAAGACCCTGTCTCAAAATTTAAAATAGGGCTGGGAATGTGGCTCAGTGGTTAAGTGTCCCGGGGTGGGGGGTGAGGGGATCGATCAAAACAATTTGGTCCTTAATTAACCTTTGATTTTCTTTTATCTGGAAAATTAACTTCTATGTGATACTTACTTCCCTAGTTGACACCAAGTGACTTGAGATCTAGTTTTTGCTAGGGCTAGCAGTGCAATGCATAAGACACCTGGAAAATTTAGCAAGATGCTAAGTATTGAGGTTTGTAATTTGGAGGGAGAGGAGATGGAAGAGGAGGACTAAACAGGAAACAGGCTGATGAGCGTGAAAAGGGATGGGTGCCCAGTGTGGGCAGACTGACACACACAGTGAGTTCTGAACCTTGCCCTGTGTATAGGTCACTGGATCCCGCGGCTGGCCTGGACCATGCCTGCCCTTTCCCAACTTCCAGTTCTGAGGCCACCTCTCTCCTTTTTCCAGTTACTGCTTTTTACTGCAGAACTCAGGTGATATTCTCATCTTGTCCCTGTCATTCACTAACTTGGTGGTGACTTTAAGCAAGGGACTTCTCTTTTCCATCAGCTTTAGTGCCTGCCTCAGAAGGGATTATCAGAACCCCTGATAGAACATTCATGTCAATTCATGGAGGTTCTAGCTGAGAAATGCCACCTGGAAGGGTTAGGTCAAGGGAGTTACTACCCTGTCAAGAGAATCACAGACACTGTTGTCTGGGCCACTGTAGTGAGTTCGCCCTGCAGTCTGTGTTCTGCATGCCAAGCACCAGGCCTGGTCAGAGCTGTACAGGCTGCAGCCTGGCACTATGGGTGTGGATGAGGATGGCTGTCCCTCCCTGAGGATGACCCCACTGCCAGATGGAGAGTATCTCAGCCCTACTCAGTAAGAATAGCCCTATTATGGGACTGGGGTTATTTATGGCTCAATGGTAGAGTGCTCGTCTTGCATGGATGCAGCACTGGGTTCAATCCTCAGCACCACATAAAAAAATAAATAAATAAAGTATAAGTATTGGGTCCATCCACAACTAAGTACACACACATACACATACTTTTTTTTTTTTAAGAAAAAAAGAATATCCCTGGGCTGGGGATGTGGCTCAAGCGGTAGCGCGCTCGCCTGGCATGCATGCGGCCCGGGTTCGATCCTCGGCACCACATACCAACAAAGATGTTGTGTCTGCCGATAACTAAAAAATAAATATTAAAAATTCTCTCTCTCTCTCTCCTCTCTCTTTAAAAAAAAAAAAAAAAGATGAATAGCCCTATCATGACAAGCCTGTTCACAGGGCCTCCTCAGAGCCACTCAGGAGCAGGTTACATTTTCTCCATTTCTAGACTGGGCACATAGCTAGATTGCTGTTTCAGTTCTCCACCTGCTTCAGTGATCAATTCCTTTCTGGTTCCAGGTGGGGGAGATGTCAAGATTGAAAGTCAGAAGTTGAACTTCAAGGAGAAGGCCCAGGCCAAGGTGGGATCCCTGGATAACGTGGGCCACCTGCCTGCGGGAGGTGCTGTGAAGGTATCGAGTGGGTCACTGAGGGAACAAAGCTGGAGAGGGGGGTGACTGCAGCTAGGATCAGGGTCCAGGCAGGTGGGCACCTGTCACCGCCCCTCAGTCTCTTCAGGAGTCATATCTTCACCTACACTATTGCTGTTTTCCCATCATCCACCATCAGTCCTGAGCAAGGCAGGAGAGGTGAAGAGGCCCAGCCACCTTTCATCTGTCAGCTGGTGGCAGAACCTTTCCCATGGGAGCTCTGGCCTGCCTTATGGAGCCCAACCCAGATGTTTTCACATGACACACAGTTGCCTGCTTGTCTTATGGAGGGGGATGCGGTATCTGCTCCATGTCAGATTCTATTCTTGGCCTGGGTGCAAGAGTCTGCGATTCCAGCTGCCAGTGACAGCAGATCTGGCGTGACCTTGGACCCTGCCTCTGGATGGTCTGCTCAGGTCACCTACCCAGGGCTCTGGGAGAGAACTCAGGTGGCAAATCTCCCCTCTTCAGCACTGGCCAGGCCTCTTCTCCCTTCCTGCCCTCTCCTCTCTCCTCCCTCCCTCCTTCCACTGTTCCATGAGACACTATGTGTGCCCTAGATGCTGTCTGTCCTTTGTTCCAAGACATGGGTGGATGAGGGACCTTGGGGGCAGTGTCCTGCAGGCCTCCAAGCAGGAGGATGCTGCCTGGATTCAGGGAAAGCTGAGCAAAGGGCAGGGGTGAGAGTGACTGCTCTGGCCGTCCCTCCCTCTGTGTCTGCGAGCCTGTGCTGGTCCATGCCCAGCCCACCCTTCCTTCCTTTCCATCCAGATTCCAGGCCCACTTGGGTTCAGTGAACATTTGGGGGGAGGGTCCTTGCTGAGGATGCTGTTCCAGTCTTCTTCTGAACCAAGTCTGTCTCAGTGAAACATTAATTGAGGTTTGGCCCCTTGTTCAAGGCCACACAGCCAGCAAGTGTAGACTGTTATTCACATTTGAGTCTTTCTGACCGTAAGCCTTATGTTTTTTATTCAGTTGTATCCCTTTATTATTTCTGGCATTATTTTTCTAACACGTGGACCTGTTTTTTTCTCTGTTGTGATTAAAAACCAAATAGAAGTCTCCATTGTCACTTTTTGAGCACTCTGGGACACCAGTGTTCAAGCTCACTGGTGCCTCCCACTGTTGTCCCCTCTTTTGTACTTTATCCCCACCGAGTGTTCATTTCCCCCAGATTTCCTCTTTCTATGATGCTGTTCGAGTCCCCAAAGCTTCCCTGGCTCACACCTCCTTGTGTCCAAGGGCCCCAGAATGTGCCCAACACAAAAGAGGCTATATATCAGGGGGTGTGACCACATAAATGAGCAGGCAGGTCCAGATGGGCTGCTGATCACCCTCCTGTGCATGCTATGCAGGGCTGGTCTGGGATTGTGGAGGATCAGAGGTGGCAATGCAGTATCCCCTCTTCCCAATCAAGTCCAGGCCCAAGCTCCAGGTCACCCTTTCTGGCTTGCTGTTGTTTGTCCTGATAGCCCTTTTTATTTGTTGCTGGCCTTAGTGGGAAGTCTAGCCTCAGAGAGGCTTCATAAGGCCCTGTGCTCCACAGAGGGCCTCCCAGGGCATATCACCAGACCACTGGGTTGGGTGGGGAGTGGCAGGCAACCATCCAGATTCTCCAGGTAACTGTGCCTTGAGCTTGAACCAGTGGGTGCCGGGCAGTGGGTTGTGTGTGATACCCTCCACCATCACCCATCCCACTCCCTCCCCGACTGACCCCACATTGTTTCCCCCACTGTTTCATTGTAGACTGAGGGCGGTGGCAGCGAGGCCCCTCCGTGTGCGGGCCCCCCTGCTGGGGAGGAGCCGGCCATCTCTGAGGCAGCACCTGGAGCTGGCGCCCCCACTTCAGCCAGTGGCCTCAGTGGCCACACCACCCTGTCGGGGGGTGGTGACCAAAGGGAGGCCCAGACCTTGGACTGCCAGATCCAGGAGACAAGTAAGTGGCTGGGCTCGGCCTGAGGGCCTGCCAGGGGCCCTGCCACTGGCTGAAAATTGAAAGTCCTTTGTTTTTTGACTAGAGTGTGGCCTAAATTTTAACACAGTAACCTTTTATTTTCCAGGCATCTAATGATGACATTCTGGTCTCGTCTTCCGTCTCCCCTGTGTTCCTCCTCTTGTCTCCCCCATTACCCTCCCCCTTCCCTCCTCCCATGTCACTGCAGATTGAGACCTACAGGCTGACGTTCCGGGCAAACGCCAGGGCCCGCACCGACCATGGGGCCGACATTGTCTCCCGGCCCCCTCACTTCCCTGGCGGCCCCAGCTTGGGCTCCCGGGCCCTTGGCTCCCTTTCTCGGGCTGTGTACTAGACCTATGAGCTCCTGGGTGCTAGGCAGCCCTCTAGGCCCCTGCCCTCCTGCCTCGCTTGCCCAAGGCAGCAGCAGTTCTGCCTACACACCTCCCTCCGCTCTCTCCCAGGGCCCAGCTCCTGGGTTCGCTCCTGTCCATCACTGCACCACTACTCCATGGAGAAGGTGGGAGGGGAATGGGGTGGGTTGGGGTCCCATGGGATCTAGGAGGGGGAACCGGATTCCAACCTCCTTTGTTTGGGTTTTCTGAATCAAACCCAAAAGAAACTGACATACCGTCCCGTCCCTTCTCCTTTGGTCAACCTGGAGGGAAGAGTGGAGGTGGATTCTGTGATGGCCAGGCACTGACTGCATCCTGTGGAGTCTGCTAAGCCACTGCCTCTCCCTTTGACCCCCACAATGGCACCTACCATACAGGTGGTGCCTGCCCTCTTGCTGCCCTGCCCCAAGTTAGTTAGGGGTTGGTGCTGCCTGTCCCGCTGCTTACCATACCTGCCTAGCTGCTGTCACACTTTTTATTCTTTTTCCTAGTAACCTATAAATTGGTGGAGTAGTTTTGCAGGTTGAAGCCATGTGTAAATGAGAGTCCTCAGTAGGTGTTAAAGGAAACAGGGAGGGGAGATGATCCTAAGCCTCCACCCAGGAGGATATCATGCATTGGGGGCTGCCCTCTCTGGGCAGCTCAGGGCCCTTGAGACACTGTGGGCAGGGAAGTGAGGTGTGGTGCTGCGGCCTGGTGAACAGGGCAAGCATACTTGAGCTAGTCAGTGTGGACTGGTTGTGTTGATATTTTGTGTGTATGCTGCTTTTCTTTTCTAACCAAGAGGCTGGTTTTGGCATCTGTCTTGTTCCCTGGGATCTGGTGGTCAGCTGTGGAATGCAAAGCCAATGCTGGAGAAACAGGAAAAAAGTCATTGAGGTCAAAATCCTTTAGGTCTAGGACACTCAAGCCCTCATGTCTAGGGAAGCCTGAGATGTCCAAAGCTCATATGGACAGTGGGGAATCAGGTCTGAAAATTTAAAAAGTAAAAGGCACGAGAACGAGCCATTCCACTTCCCTTCTAACCTGACTGGAGAGGAGCGAGGAGAGGCCAGCCTGTGGAGGGGTGGCCAACCCAGCTGGGCCCACCTGTGGGATGGCTGCAGTGAGGAGAAATCCCGGGAATTGTATTGACATGATTCTTATTGCACTTGTATTTTTTGTATTAAAAGTTTGCATGGTTTCTAATAAAGGATTAAAACATAAGTTTGTAGTGAAATGGCCTGGGCTTTTCCACGGGTTTCTCCTCTGGGGGGCATTTTCTGCTGTGCAGACTTGCCTCAGGAGGCTGGCCCAGACTTGGCCCCTCTGGCCCTGATCTTGAACTCCACAGTCTCCACCTGTGCTCCTCACATCCCCTTAGGTTCAAATCGAATTTTATCTGCTCATAGAGGGAGTGAGTTGCTGGGCCTAACGATCCTCTCCAATTCTGAGGCAGCTGTGTCTTTGGGAAAGCTTGACATCAGATCCTCAGCTTCCCGAGCACATGCCAAGAAATTGCACAGGCCTAGTGGAGATGGAGAAAGTGTAGCCCAAGGCAGGAAGGTGGAATTTCTTCCCCAGCTGTCTGCCGAGTGCTCTAAATGTGCCAGGGGCTGTAGGACACCAGTATTTTCTCAGAAAGATGAAATTGGGGTGAAGGAAGTGATGGGTGCTGGGCCTGAAGGTACCTGGGAACTTGAGGATGCTGACATTGACAACAGTCTCTGGGTCCTTTTAATCCCTTTCACCAAGGATTGGGGAGGAGGCAGACCAACTGGAGAGCTCTCTAGGTAGGACACATGAGTGGTCAGTGTTCCTGTTTGGTCCCAGCTCCCTTGAAGAGTCCTACAAGCCAGAGAACCTGAGAAGGCTGGCCTGACAAGATGGGACCAGAGGCCCCTGTGTGATGTGTACTACTCTGCAATCTTCTAGGGATGGGACAGTTCTGGAATACTTTCCAATTTGCTTATGGCTCAGCCATTACCCCAGTCTGTGTTGTATTGATTTTAAGAGTAAATAAAGCTGCGTGATGTCCCACCACATAGGTCCCGTGTTGCTTGTCTTGGTTTGTACCCAATGCCCATCTCATCCCATGTCAAGGTCCTGATGTGCATTGCACTCTGTTTCCTTTGCATGGTTTCTTTTTCTTTTTTTTTAAAGAGAGAGCGAGAGAGGAGAATTTTTTTTTTAATATCTATTTTTTAGTTCTCGGCGGACACAACATCTCTGTTGGTATGTGGTGCTGAGGATCGAACCCGGGCCGCACGCATGCCAGGCGAGCGCGCTACCGCTTGACCCACATCCTCAGCCCCTGCATGGTTTTTAATAAAGGATTAAAACATACATTTGCAGTGAAGTGGCCTGGGCGTTTCCACGGATTTGCTGTGTGCTTGCAACAGGGTTGCCATACCACCCAAGGAGGTGCCTGGGAAGGAGCTGCTCAACACTCTAAACCTACAACTACAGTGACCATCTGACAAACTCCCCATAGTGTGGGTACTCCTAAATCAGGTGTCAATAGTGGGTCTCCCCAAGCAGTTAGAGCTGATTGACAGCACTGACTGGGAGCTCATCTTGAGAGAGGTGGAAAGCACCAAGCCCTAAGAGTTCCCAAGACTTGAACCACAGCCAGCCTGCCCCTGTAAACATCTCTGAGCCTCGCCCCTCCATATGTTTTTATTTTTCTTGGTACAGGGACTGAGCCCGGGGGCACTTAACCACTGTGCCACATCCCCAGCGCCCCCCCCACCCTTTTTTTCCCCAAATTTTGAGACTAGGGCACTAAATTGCTGAGGCTGGCTTTGAAGTTGTGATCCTCCCACCTCAGCCTCCCAAGTCACTGGGATTTCAGATAAGCGCCACCAGGCCCAGCCATACCTTCATTCATGTAGGGAACTGTGGCCCACAATGAAGAGTGCTGAGGCCTAGAGAGAGGAGCTGATAAGCAATACTCACAAGGGATAAATAGAACTTTATTTTAAATAAACATTTGCACTCTGTACATAGCCCCAGCGGAAGAGGGGCTCAGTCATCAGCTGTCTTGCGCACGTCAAAGCTGCCACAGGGTCCTCGCAGCAGTTCTGCCAGCAGCGCAAGCAGCTGCCCATGCTCCTGCTGCACAGTGGGTGGAAGTGCAGCCAGCTCACTTCGCAGGCTCCGCTCCACCATGCGGCCCAGGGCCCGTCGCAGCTCCCTCAGCAGCCGCACCGTTCGAGAATCACCCTCTAGCCGCAACAGGTCACTGTCACACAGGGAGATGGTGGCCCGGCGCCCGTCATCTGGGTGAAGGGAGGAGACAGTGGGGAACTGATGTGAAGCCAGGCCTCTGAGAACATGGAGCCTGTGAAGGAGCAGGGGCCAGAAGCTGAGGTACCTACCACGGACATGGACATCCCCATCTGTCAGCAGCAGCACAGCCAGTGGGTGCACCTGGGAGGAGTCCCGGACAAAGACACTGCCATTGGACTTGACAGCCATGAAGTACGTCAGCCAGCGGCTCCGTAACCGTGTGGCCTCCCTAGGGAACACAGGGCTGGGTGAGGCCACCCTTCTGGCCTTTCCCAGCTGCCCTGTCTAGTCCTGCCTGCCCCCCACCTGTTGATGGTGGACTTGTGCAGCAGGATGTTGCCAGATTTGGTCCTGTAGGTAACACTGTTGGGCTTGAACTTCCCCTGCCGGGTCACCTTGCCCTGCCTCACCTGCAGGGAAGGAGGAAAGAACAGATGGGGTTGAGCTAGGAGCAAGCAGATGGGAAAAGAGGCTGAGAGCTGCTCAAATGCTTCTGAAAGAAGCACCTGGATGAGGTTGGGGTAGAGGCCGGCCATCAGCACACCCTTCACCAGCTCCTCTTCCTCACTGTACTCATTGCACTGGGCAGAGGGCAGCGTGCAGTCCGAAGGCTTCCCCACCAGGAAGGCCTCATAAATGTTCTCTGAGAACTGCTTGATGAGCCCTGGGGAGGCAAGGTGCTGAGTGAACAGAGGTCCCTGTCACAAAGCTGGGAGGGGGAGTTACCAGGTGTGGGGGCTGGGGCTGACCGTGGATGAAGCGCAGGCTGGGTGCATAGAGCAGGTTTTCCTCCAGGTAATTTTCCCGGGAAGTACGGTCCTGCCAGCGCAGCACCTCCTCCCAGCCAGCCACAGCCCGCACAAAGGCCAAGTGATCACTGCCGCTGTCGTGGCTCAACAGCGCCTTCACCTAAGAGGAGAGAAGGTACTGGGGTCACAACAGGGGCCAAAGGTCACCTCAGGACAGCAGGTGATAAAGGGTTGGATGGGACAGCCAGACAACTGCAGGACAGGACTAGGTCTAACCTTGTCCACTTCAGCCCGATTCTGCAGGCTGCTACTGAAGGGGTCCCGGGTGAGGCAGGAAACAACCACCAGCAGTGGGTGCAGGCAACGGAAGATGGCTGCCAGTACTATGGCCTTGGCCAGCCGGGGGTCAGTGGAGATGTGGGCCAGGCGCTGTCCCAGGGTGGTCAGGTACTCCCGCTGGTCCAGCACCCCTGCAACAGTTCAGCTGTCAGTCCTACCCAAAGTCACTCACAGTCCAGCCCAGCCTAGTCTGGCCCAGCCTACACTCACCGATCTCCTGGAGCAAAATAACAGCTTCATCTACAGCCTTGATATTTGGACTGTCCACAGCCTTGGAAAGGAACTCCACTGCCTACAGAAAGAACAAGCCAGAGTCCGCATGAGTCTGCATCTTTCCTGCCCCTTCCAGAGTCCCGTCCTCACCCAGCCCTGCCTCTGCCGCACCGTCTTCTCAGGCATGTGGATCTTGGCTTGCAGCACCAGGTTCTCAAGAGGTGTGCGCAGGATTTCTGGCACTTGGAAAGGGACCATTTTCTCTAGCCGGCTCCGAGGGAATAAGTGGTAGGCAAAACCTGACTGGCAGCGGCCTGCCCGGCCCCGGCGCTGGATCACATTGGCTCTTGACACCCATACAGTCTCAAGGCAGGACACCTGGAGAAAGGGACAAGTGAGAAGCCATAGGCTTTCCTCAGTATTTTCCTGCTTCTCAAATACCCCCGCTCAAGGCCCTCTCACTATAGGGACACTGAGATCCTCTGGCCTTCTTAAAACATACAGGTATAAAGTGCATCTGTCCTAAGGGCCACCTCAGAAATGAAATCCTCCCCAAGGACTGGCTGGGCTCAGGAGAGAGGTGCCACCTTGGTTTTCAGGTCGTAGCGTTCCTCCTTGTGCAGGCCGCTGTCCACGACATGCACAATGTCATTGACTGTGATGGAGGTCTCAGCAATATTGGTGGCCAAGACAATCTTGCGCACCCCCACTGGAGGCTGCTGGAATATGGCCTTCTGGTCCATCATAGGGATGTTGGAGTGCACTAAAGGACAATAAGATGCATGATGGTTATGGGCACTGCTCCCACCAGAACCAGCTCCTAGAACCCACCTTTTTCTTTTTAGGGTTGGACCCAGGAGCGCTCTACCACAGAGCTACCTCCCCACCCCTTTGTAATTTTTTGAGCAGGGTCTTGCTAGGTCACTGAGGGTAAACTTGTGATGGTCCTCCTCAGCCTCCCAAGTTCTGAGATTATAGGTGTCCACCATACACCTGGTTTGACCCCATCTTGATGAAACCAAGGCCCAGACAAATCATAAGCCCAGTGAAAAGTAGTGAAAACTTGGGTCAAAAACTTGAGCTCCCCAAGTCCCAGGTGGGTTAAGGGGAGAAAGTAAGACTCGTTTTAGGGCTCATACCCAGGCTCTCACCTGGCAGGATGAGGTACTTGCTCTCGTGCATGCCCAGGGCCTCTTGGAGGCGTTGCTGCACTCCTTTGATCTCCTGCCAACCAGGCAGGAAGCACAGGATCCCACCTGTAAAGGGGCCCTGCAGGCATGAGACGTTTGCTCTGGCAATTGGGTGGCGGGGTGGGCATGGCTAGGCAGAGGAAGCACCCACCTGGTTCCCCCCGGGCATCGATGTGCAGAACCAGATCCGTCACAAGATCCAAATCAAGTGCGCATTCATCCTCAGACTGGGGTAAGGGAAGAGAGGCTATAGTCATAGCTCTGGGGTGTGGGGTCCGTGCATAGGACACAGCCAGGATTACTTAGTGAGGCACAGCCTCTTAACCCCTCTTAACCCTCACATCCTTGTCAAACATGATTATTCCTGACTTTATCAAGGAAACTAGACTAGGGAGGGTAACTTGTGCTAAGCTACCAAGCAACAGGGACAGGGAGAAGGGAAATCCAGAGGAAAAGCCAGGAGCCCTGGGTTGGATGGGTTGGAGCATCCTCACCTCATGGTGCCGGTGTCGGTGTGGGTACTGGTGTTTGCCCAGCTTGGCGAGGATGTCCTCCAGGTAGTGCTCCTTGACAGGATACATGAAGCCAGGCACCTTGATGACAGGGCAGCCACCAAAGTAGCGGGAGAAGCGCTCATTATCACCTGTAGCACTCATGAGCACCAGCCGCAGGGCCGGGTTGAGCCGCTGAAGGCCCTTGAGCAGAATCAGCAGGAAGTCTGTGTTCACATCCCGCTCATGGACCTCGTCCACAATAACATGGCTCACACCCTCCAGGCTGGGGTTGCTCTGCAACTTCCGCAGCAGAATGCCCACAGTGCAGAAGAGCAGGGCCCCGCCTCGGGCTGGGGGCTTGCTTTCCAAGCGCACCTGGAAGCCCACATTCCGGCGCAAGGAAGGGCCCAGTTCATGGCTGACCCGCTGTGCCACAGACACAGCTGAGATACGGCGAGGTTGGGTGATGATCACATTGCAGCGGGCACCGCGGCCCTCGGTCACATAACGCTCCAGCAGCAACTGGGGGATGCGCGTGGTCTTCCCACAACCTGTGTCCCCAGAGATGACCACGACCGGGTGCTGCTCAATGGCATTGAGGATGGTGTCCCGATGTGGGTCCACAGGGAGCTGGGGAGCCTCCTGCCAGATTGGCCCTCGCCGCCGCCACAGCTCTAGCAGGCTCTGACTCAGTCGTACCTCCTCTGCTTCTGACAGGGGCACGTAGGGCTTGCCTGTTATAGGGTCACTCAGGGGCCCTGAGTCCTTCCC